GCTTAGATACCCACATGGTATCTACCATTGGAGATGCTCTTAGTCTACTACTGTACCGTAGTAAATCTTTCCACTTCTACTTCTCCGTTGTAGTCTTCTAATATTCGACTTTTTTATTTTAGAGTATGTATTAATTTATAGAAATTTAACTAGTATATTTGAAGGTTGACAAAAAAAAAAACTAGTATATTTGAAATAATTCTTATAGTTGTTGAAGTTACTTGAACTATGCGAGAGACTAAAACAATAAACAAATGCGTAAAATTGCTAGTCATCTGATTTCAAAGTAAACGAGGTTCTTAAAACAAATATTGTTTTATATTCAACTTATTTTCCCAATTTATTCTTACATGTTATTATTACATACGTATAGACTATAGAGAAATCAATAATAAAAATAATTAGTTTGGGCTTTCGTTTCGATTTGTGTCCTTTTGCCTAATCTTTCGAATGTTTTCATGTAACTCTCAGGTGGACATATCATCCCAGCGGTCACTTTCGGCCTGTTCTTAGCTCGGAAGCTCTGGTGTACTGTACTACATAGTGATGCAGTGCTTGGGAGCCATATGCGGTGTCGGTGTGGTCAAAGGGTTCCAGCCAAAGCAATACCAAGCTCTAGGAGGATGAGCCAATACCGTGGCTCATGGCTACACCAAGGGTAGTGGTCTTGAAGCTGAGATCATTGGAACATTTGTCCTTGTTTACACGGTCTGACGCTAAGAGAAACGCCCGTGACTCGCATGTCCCCGTACGTACCTAGGATCCATATATATCAGCCTTAAGTGTAGTGCAAGAAATTAAGACTGGTTCCACATTGAATTCCTTATTGGCTTATGTTTTGTGACAATTTATGCAGATTCTTGCACCACTTCCAATCGCTTTCTTGGTTCACTTAGCAACTATTCCAATCACTGGCACAGGAATCAACCCAGCAAGAAGCCTTGGACCTGCAATCATCTACTACAAAGATCATTCATGGCACGACCACGTGAGTTTCCTCACTAAAATAAATATTAAATCGCATTTCTCTTACCA